CCCCTCCCTCCACTTGCCCCCCGTGCCGTCAAGTACCATTCATTCTAGTCAGCACACAGCCACGATAATGAGCAGCGCGACTACCACGGTCACAAGTTCCATATACCATCAGCAGCAGCAACAGCAGCATCAGCATCAACAGCAGTCTCAAACGCAACAGCAGCAGCAGCAGCAGCAGCATCAACCACGCGCGAACAGTACGAGCGGTACGACGACTACGAGTTCTCTATGCGGCGTGATGACCGCGCACGCGGCACAGACGCCGCCGAACAGTTCCTCGACGTTGAGCGCGATGAATCACATGGCGCACAAATCGCCGCCGCTGTCCCACGGTGTTCACGTGCCGAGAGGCAAGGAGCCGCCGACGATAACGACGACGGCGGGCGCGTTGTCCGCGACAACGGCTGTGACGACCACGACGAGCACGACGACCGCGTCGCAGCCGGCCTTCGTCAGGCCCTTCGAGGACTCGTTTCGCTCCTCCTCGACGAAGACGCAGCAGCGGCCGATAATGAACAGCCACAATCACAGTATAGTCAATCAGATCGGTCATCACGAGCCGTCGTTGAAGCCGCCGTCGATGACGCCGACCACCGCGCAGGCCGTGGGCAGCCAAGTGATGCAGGAGAACACCTCGACGATGGACTGCAAGTCTATGAGCAACCAGCAGACGCTTTCCCAGCCGATCTCGTATCCACCGCCGCAACAGTACCATCATCCGCATATACCCGTTTCGCATGTGCCAAGTCTCTACAAACCGCACTTATCGTCCGCGTCGTCGACATCGTCGTCGTCACCGCATCAGTCGCACCACTCGCAGCCCAAGCTCAACGTACCGACGATAAATACGAGCAGCAGTCACGGTAGCAGCGGCGGCGCGAGTGTTGCGGCCACCTCGAACAGCACCACGAAGCAGCAGCCGAACGCGCATCACATCGGCGAGTCTCATCAGACGACAACTGCGACTTCGCGAAACGACAGCATGATCAATCACTGCGCTGCCAGTCAGGAGAAAGCAGTGAGCAACAGCGGTTTCAGCGCCAACAATCAGATCGCGAACGGCGGGAAAATAACGAATCACACGAGCGCGCATCACAAGAGCAATTCGGACGTCGCGGTGAAGGACGGCAAGTTGAACGCGTGCAGCGAGAAGAGCGTGAGCGAGAGTCCAATCAGGCAGCCGCAGTTGTCGAATCAGAATCATGTCGCAGCGAATTCGCTCCAGGAGAAGGTCTCGATCCCGCACTTGCCTTACGAGCAACAGGGCAAGGGCCCGTCGCCCTTTCACCCGGTGAACTACAATCTCAGCGAGAAGGAGTGCAAGTCCGAGGTCGATTGTAGCAGTAAAACGCAATGCGATCAGAACAACGTCTTGTCCACATTACCGTTTCAACCGAGCTTTAAGTTCAGCATTAACGACATTGCGCAGAAGCCCCTGGACACGACGCAGCTGATGCAGAGCATCAAGTCTGAAGAAGTGTTGCGCACTTGTCAGAACGTCTCCAACGTGCTCCTGCAAATACCCAAGTATCAGGAGAAGCTCCTGAACTTCTCGGCGAGCAACAACGAGCTGAAAACGACCGCGTTTTGCTTTACCGACAAGTGCAATAATTTGACTGAGATTTCCGTGAAGTGCGAGCCAGCGGTGCTGAACGTGCCTGATCTCAGCAAGGCTCTGGTCAAGCAGGATATCACCAGCAGCAGCGAGAAGTCCTTCCTGGTGCCTGAGATGCCGAAGGAGTTGACGTCGTCCCTCGATCTGGCCGAGAAGAGGCGTAAACGGAAGAGGGAGAAGCATACGGGCGTCACGTGTAGCTCCGACTCGGAGGACGAAGATGAAACCAAAGATATGGATCTTTGGATCACGAAAGGTCCGCCGGCTAAGCTACAATATTCGCAAGACAAACTGGCCTTCCTAGCTATGTTTGGACTCACCACGCTGACTGTGAGGAACGGTAGGAGGAATCGCGTTTAACTTTATTACGACCAGCGTTTCTTCATTATTCTTGTCTAACTTGTCATTATTTTTTCAGAGATTGAATTGTGTAAGGTTGAGAAAAGGTACAGATTGAATCCCGATCCACCGGAACTACCTCTGGAAATAGAGCCTGTAATAGAGTCCGTCTTACCGATTCCGCGTGAGCATCCGGACGTTTTACTTCATACGCCAGATTTCGAGCCGAAAGTTGGCTTTCTCAAAACCATTGGCCTCGATATCATGCCTCCGAGTAAAAGAGACGGTAAATATCATCATTAATCAAATGGATATATCTTAGCTGTAGATGTAAAACGTAGAAGATTTCACATTATAATGAAACTTTCCGAAAATAATATGACGAATGAAACTGATTTTATCGCTATTGCAGAGGCAGAAGTGACATGGCAATACGTTCTGGCAGATCGCAAGAAACGGAAATGCGCGAACTCCGTTACTGCATACTGTGAAAGAATCGCCAAAGTTTACTCTAAGAATCCTCCAGCTTTACCAAAACCACCTCAAAAAATGCGACTTTTGGACAGAGTTAAAGTAAAACATATCCCGGAACGTCCGCCACCGTTACCACCCTTGGTTCCGAATATTGTTTCGATGTATTATCCTGCTTTGCCTATGCCTGGTGAGAATGGTGTGAAACAACATTGTAAAACCATAGACATCAGCGAGAGCGCTGACGAAATGGTTGAGAAAAGAGAAAAGCCGAGGTGGACTGGAATCGAGGATGTTATGTTTGCTTATAAAGAGTATTTAAAAGGTACGTGTTGAACTTTTTTTCATATAACATAACATTGCGCACGTGTAGTGACAGAAAAATGAATAAACTAAGGCATTAATGTTGAAATTTTACATTTTAACATTTTTAACGTACATTTTATTCACTTTTATGCTTTAGATTTTTATATCATATTATTTGGCTGGCTTAAAACTTCACTGTAATGCGTTGAAATCTTATGTTTTAAAGAAAGAAATTACCTAAAATGTTTAAATGTACATTTTATTCATCTTTATGCTTTAGAATTTTGAATTTATGCTTTAGAATCATATTATTTGGCTTAGAACTTTACTGTGATGCGTTGAAATCTTGTATTTTTAAGAAAGAAATGATCTAAAATGTTTAAATGTACATTTTATTCATTTTTATGTCTTATAGACTTATATCATAACATTTGTTAGGTTAGAATGTACACTTTAAAATGTACATTGTCCTTACTGCGATGCATTAGAATCTTATATTTAAACAAAAAAATGATTTAGAATTCTAAAATATAAGATTTTAATGCATCGCAGTAAAGTTCTAGGCCTGCCAAACGATATGATATAAGATTCTAAAGCATAAAAATGAATAAAATGTACATTTCAATATTTGAAACCACTTCTATGTTTGAAATATAAAATTTGAATGTGATAAGCAATAAAAATCAGTATCACATGAATGCAATTGAAAAAATGCACTATATAATATCAAATGCAATACATTGAAACATCGCATATATTTCTTTTTTTTAGAAAAGGCACTGGAGAGAAAGATTCTAACAAGTGAAACATCAAGACTGGTGATACAGTCGAATAGTTTGCGTTCGGAAACTATTCAGTTAGAACGGAAGATCTATGAACTTTTGTCTGTCAGAACAGCTCTTGATTCCGAGAGGGAAATGCTCAACGAGAAAATCGAGAGGATCAACGCACTTGTTAAGAACCTTAGATAGCGTTGCGTAACGCACAACACGGAAACTCATTCATCTGTGATATTATCAGCGAGTTAAGGGCCGTTAGAACGTAATACGTACTGCTAAACGTAACACTTAGATAAGTAACGGTTAAGGACGAACTCTTGAGTGACCAAATGTACAGCAATCTTTCGTATATTGTTTTGTGGATTTTATTATATAGTACAACGCGCCCTTTTGCCGTCGTTGAACGACCGTGTCGGGAAAGCGGAAACCTTCGACTCTCGGCTGGTCCATAGAAGGCAGCGATTGCGTCTGGCTGAATGTTACCGCACTAATTAATAGATATTATTTTTTTGCGCGTGTCGCAGAGCATTGACGAACGCGCGTCGATCTTCGAGGCATAAACGCGGAGTCATATCAACCATACGAATATATGTATAAAGTTACATAATTGTACAAATCGAATTGTATCCCATCCGTGGAAAAAAAAAGACAGTTTTTATGACCGCGAGTAAAACGACAAAGGCTTTCTAGTTTCATAAACTAACGGCTCTTACACTCCAAGCATAAATAATTGTAATTTGTATCATAATATTTTAATGAGAAAAAAATAGACAAATCTTGTAACTTATTTTATTCTGCGTAATGTGGACTTTTACGTCGTACGAGTATTTGGGGGAAAAAAAAAACAATGATATATCACGCAATTTGTATGTCGACCGAATGGTAAAGTTAAGCGATAGCAAGAGGGGACATTATATAGAATCGAAAGACGACATCGATTACATCGGACTGGCAGTGTCGAGAAACCGCTCGCACACAATAAATGACCGTCTTTATTTTTATGTTTAATATAGTAGTGTGTGAGATGAAACTGATTTAATCGATAGAAACCGGATATATAAACTGCGAAAGATTGCGAGCACCGCGAATCTGGACACGAATGCGGAAAAATTTGAACGACAGAACATTTGACGCGAGTTTTACGTTTTAATTTAAATCAACGTCAACGACACAGGAGAACTCTAGTCTACGGACACGCCCAGGCTATACGGGGGAAAATCACACGCATTGATACGCGTAAGATCAGAGTAATGAGCAATCCTTCCTTTTGAATGTTCACATCATTCACCGTAACGAATACGAAGGCCAGTGAAAATATAGGGAGGAGCGTTATTAAAGTTATGTAACGACACTGCAGTACTTAGGTAATGTGACTTAATTTTTAAAGAAATAAAAAAAAAAAAAGTAAAACGAACTTGTGAGACTTCGCGCGGAGCACATTCCACATAAAAATGCTTGTTACCCGATCACCAACATTCCAACGCGTCATTTCATCACGATAATTGGTTTGTCGACTCGACGTAGGTTGAGCAAATTTGAAAGAAAAGAAAAAAAAAAAAAAAAAGAAACCGATCGTACCTATTTGTTTTTTTCCTTCTTTGCGTTTGATACGTCCATGTCATATAGCTGCGCTACTCTACTTTTCACACCTCCTTAAAATTTATCTCGCTCTCTGCTCTCTGAGTGCATCATGGATACATTGCACGCCATAGAAGCACCATCCGCCCGCACGGTGCGCGCGATACACTATCATTTATAATTTCGCTGTTTTGTTCATTGAGTGCCTAACATTTCTCCCTACATTTGTAAATACCATTATTTTTATGTATTATGTAACAAAGGGGACCGCGAGTGCGCGTCGGTCTCAGTCAACTGGCCAGAACAAGAGCCTAGGAGTAAATTGTTGAAAACATGAATTTACAAAGTGTTTTTTTTTTTTAACCACCATCATTCAAGCATACTCCCCAAATCCATCATCTTTGAAAATGAATAAAATACTTCTAAGAATCTCTATCTTCTTATATTTATACTATTATTATTTCATATATGCATGTACAGGATATTGCATATTTATGTATACAAAGTACAAATTAGATATACATTATGTTTAAAATAATTATAAAATATCTGATGAAATATAAAAAATATATAAGCATTTGATTTCTTATTTGATTCGCGCAAATATATTTCAAAGAGATATTCAAATTAGTCGAGAATTAAATCCTAGCTAAGACTCGGACACTACTTATAATTAGCTAAGACTAAAACTACAAATGATTAACAAAATAGCTAAAATAAAAAAAACTGAATGAAAATTATTTGCATTTAAAAAAATTTTTTTTTATGTTTCTTTTTGTTTAATTAATAGGATATTTTTGAAAGTTCTAGCCTTTTCTCAAATGCATTACTTTATCGATTTTAGCAATTTTTAGCAACGATCAGAAGACGCCTAATCACGTCTTCGAAAAATTGGAGGACGCGTCGTTCAATTTTTTCAATAGCAAAGAACGCCTAATCGCATTCTCGATAATAAATATTAATAATCGATAAATAGTGATACTGAATAGGAATCTGTAAATATTCTACAAAAAAATTTTAATCAATTTTTAATTTATTTTGTTGTATATGCATACATAAATCTCAAAATTTGCATTAAACTCTTCTTAAAATTAATTAAAAATGAGACTTTTGTCATTTATATACATTGTTGAAGCTTTATTCAACAAAATCTTTTACGTCCAGTATTAAATAGTGCTCAATCGGAGCATTTTTTTATAAAATGTGTGCTAAGAAAAAAGAATTCGCATTTTATCAGAAGCTTGTTATTAAAAATTTGTGCGAAAATTGAGTAAGCAACTTTGAATATGATTATCTGTGATGCACATATTTCTTTCACACACTGTTGTCGTAATCTGTTTAAGTACAGTTTGTACTAGTATACCCAAAATAAAGGACATAGATTGTTAAATAAAAATTTTGATAGTATCGCGTTTAACGCCACTTTATCGAAATACTACGCTATTATCGCGTACAATCGACTAGTCGCTTTTAAACGAGCACTAAATTGAACGGCGAGATATTTGCAAGAGATTATAACAAATTATATATGTGTATTACATATATATGTATATATATATAATATATCACATGTAATAAAATCATTCATCTTAGAAAGGACTTTATTGAAAATGAGTTTAAAAAAAATTTTTTTTTTAATTTTTATGTACTTATATATTGCAAAATATTTTTTACGCTTTCCATAAAATGACGATTTTGAAATATTATCCTTTCTAAAATGATTGCTTTAATTACATATTAACAGATCTTAAAAAGTAATACTTTTTTAATAACTCTCCTTAAATACTATTTCAGCTACAAACGTTAAATTAAAAGTAAGCCGGTAGTTATCCTTTATTCGGAATATTTCTACATTTTGAGATTTTTTGAAAAAATCTACAAGCTGCAGTAAGTGGAATCATGAATGAAGGGGAGGATCGATGAAGTCTTTTTATTTACATCTTGAATAAATTGAACTTTGATACACGCTGCGTGAATAAGTTAACTGACTGTTAACGGTTGCGTGGGAGTTGGAAAACTCGGAAAATAGTAGTCTCGAATCTTGACGTATTCTCGCACGATTTTTCTGGGCCTTAAAGGTTTCAGAACAAGCTCTGTTAAATTTCGTTCCGTTCGATATATATCTAACAAATTATTACTAAACTGACCTAAGACCAATTGTTACTTGAAATTATCTACACCTAACGAATCGCGGGGGGGTCAAAGGATAAAAATCGAACTGACATGAAAATGACTCGCCGAAATGTTCCTACATCTCAAATTTCAATATTTCTAATGTCTGCGCTCTAACGTTCCTTTGGTATTTTTCTCGTAAGATAAATATTCGCTGGGTCGTTCACCAGCAGCGTGACCAGGATATCTCGAGCTGGCCTTTAAGGTGTCCATTCAGTCCTTTCATTCTGATGAGGTATTATTGATGCATCGTATGTCTTTGTATTAAAAAAAAAAAAAAAAGGATCACATGAGATCACAACTGCTCAGATTCGAAAGCCGTATTATCTATGCCATTCATCATTTCGGCCTTCTGCGCGTTCACGATCCGAATGTTCGGTGTCGTCAAACTGTTATCCGTTGTGTCCTCGTTTTTGTAATTGATTACAGCTTCGGGTTCCTTCTGTTCGGATTCCTTCACACGATCCTTCCGGTGCTCCGTATATAACCACCTGAAATTAAAGGAACGTAACGTTACATTGCGCTTTGGAAACTTAATTAAGACAGTCGAATTAGGATAATTGGCAATATTTGAAAACTGTCCTTTAAAAAAAATATAACAAAAGAATCGAGAACGCTTAAATGCGTTGCCCGAAAGCACGGTCTCTTTTCGAGCCAACAATTTAATCTACTTACAAGAATGCAAATACCGCAGGCATTGTCATACATCCTCCGGCGATAAAGAACGTCCCCGAGAATGTGTTCATCGTTGCCGCGTAAATAGCGCTGTACATCGGTCCGTAAACAAGCGGCATGAGGGATTCGCACACGCCAAACAGCGAATTGACTTTACCTGCGGAATTATGTAATGCGTCTTAGGTTCGGGCGGGAAATAAAAATTGCGTCGAATTTTCCTCGGCGGATCGTTAGCCAAGCAGGAAGGCCTCGTTAGGCTTTGCTCGTGATACAAGAGAGAAATTAGCAGTGTCGCCACGTAAATGTATAATTCGGTGTCCAAATTATCTGATTTACGCGGTTCCGCGAAGCGAAGCGAAGGTGAAGAGCGACTCTAAATCGCAAACATTTCTAAATGGTGCTACAGCATAATAGTCGTAATTTTTATATTTAAGCTAATTCTATAAAGACGGCTTGTGCAAAAGCCTTTTCACGCTTCTTTATTCATTTACTCAAATAGAAGAACGTGTAATTGTTGAAATACATTTTTTGAATATAATTTTGAACAAAAAGGGAAATCCCTTTATTGGCGACTATATGATTTCAAGAGAGATTCGTGGTTCTGTGTTTTTTTTTTTAGTTTTTGAGACTCTTAAGCTGCGTAAAAATCAGAAAGGAGGATCGATTCGATCACTCACCGAGTTCGTCTGTAGGCACGAGCTTAGAAGCTATCGATCGCATGGCTATAAAGGATGTGCCATTCACAATCTCCACAATAGCGGCTGAAACGCACAATTCATTCATTATTAGAGAGATATCGGAACTAGGGCTACATTATGATACTAATTAGTTAACTGTTTTAAAAAGACTGACCTGCGTACACCATCCAAGTGGTAGTGGCGAACGCGTAAACAAAACTTGACAATATTTTACTCATACAACTCATGATACCCACGATCGCATCGTCTATCTTGAGAATGTGGCTAAAAATGCCAACGGAGATCGACGTTCCTGCGTATCAGAAGAAAATCTTTCTATTTTTCATCTTTTTTTTTTTTGGCGGAACAATAATGACAACCGCTCGAATTATTTCAGTGAGGAAATTAATAGATAAAAGAATACTTTATCTACGACAAATGTTGGTTTAAAAAATGCAAGAAGATGCAAGAGAAATTAAGTTGCAAAAATTTACGTGATCCACATCGACAGGTGGAAAGTTTTTGACAAATAAAAAGTACAAAATGTTTCGCGTACTAAAGTTTCACGTACGACGCTAAACAGCTCGAAGTTGTCATTGGCGATTTTTATCTCGTGCATACATTATTGTTGATAACATTTAATTCGGTGATAATATTTAACAATTCCGTTGCAAAATATCTGATTACTTGCTACGCCGTCCGTCTGTGCCAAACGATTGCATTTTCAAAGCAGTCTCTAGCATCCACGATCCGTTAGAATAAAAGCGATAGTCGATGATTCCGCTTAGCAACGATACTCATTCTTACGTAAGAACGCATCACCGATTGCTTTCATCGATCCGTGAACGTAAAAAGGCATGATTAAGTTAATGAACGTGCCATTATAAGAACAGAGTTAACGGATATTTTCAATTGATGCAAAATACAAGCGATTATAGATCGCAAGAGATTATATTCTATACATAGAATTTAATCGACGCTATATTTTAATTCCAAGATTACCGGTAAAACTGATGAAGAACCGAAGGCAGGCAAAAATCCCGCGAACGCTCGCGTTAAATCTTTTTCTCCCGCATCTTTTGCCACGTGTATTAACGCGCTACGCTGTTATTTATGACGATTTTCTTACCGATCAGATTAGTTACCATGGAGAACGTGGAGAACATGCTGAATGTCACTTCATTCCAGTTGTATCGGTAACGCATGTAAAGATACAGAACCGCCATTTCGCCTGAAAGAAACAGGTATGAAACATAGTATATTACGTGTTGCAATAGTTTTTCCTGTCATGCATCGGTTAAAGATCGGGCATGAAAAAATACCGATTGACGCACGAAATAAAAAAAGGAAAATACATCGACTTCACCTGTGATCTTCGGTGACTTTTCATTCCGATTCCAGCTGCCAACAATTACACTCGGTATTCATAATTTAATATTCATGCTTAACGGTTTTGATGCATAGCTCAAATGTGCGAACATCTTTGCGTAATTGTTTCTCAGACTCTTGATTTTCAATGAAGAAATCTACGTTAAGCCGTGTCTTTTGCGCGAGCTCGAATTGTGTCGAGCTTGCCGTTATCTTACCGTCGAATACTTGCGAAATCTATTCATTAATTGTAAGCTTCAGCTCCTTGTCTTACCTCAAAACCTCGTTTGCAATTTATTCATCGCGCGGACTTATGTGTCTCTACACGCAAATATAAAATTGATAATAATTTGCTCGTGCAATAAAATATCGTATTGCATAAAAGTCATTACCGTATTTTATTTCGTCGGTGCAGCTGGGACAATATTTTGCAGATTCACCCAAGCGCAACGTTTTTCTGTTCAATTACAAACGATTTTCAGACGATTACATCGGCAGCAATTAGACCAACAATTGCTTCCTGTAGCAATACGAAGTTAACTATGAAGGTCAAATGTGGAATTAAAATTATGTAAAACGACGTTTTTTTACGAAAAGGAAAAAAGCGAAGAAAGATGAAGACGCGAGATAATAGTTTCTAAGTTTTACAATAATGATTAGAATTGTTTCCACATATCTTTCATCAAATCTAAATAATTACATTTAAGACTGACATGCATTATATAAAAATGTATAAATTTCGCAATCACAAATTTGTCCCGCTTAAATTCGTCACGTGTTTCTCGTGTGACGCAATATTATCTATCGCTACACAGCATTAAACTAAAAATATTTTTCATCAAATCGCTACTATGTGGCACAATCGACTTTCACCGCGTACTTCTAACGAGCAAAGATCTGAAATTACATTGCCGGCGTTCGAACCGCGTTAACATGTGATGGAGATTGCATGCAAGTAACGTGTGGTTTCGCGCGCGCGCGCTTGATAAATCACACACACAAGCTCGAAAAGTGTTGGAATAAATATCTCGCGCCTCGAGCGTTCACGCTTGAAAATTTATTCTTAAAGGGCAGTGGGTTGACTGAGACAATGGGATCTTTTTGGACACGTGTACCGGTCCGACGCTACAGAAATAGGCTGCTCGTATCAGCGTCAATTGTAATTATGTTGTGAGATGCGGTCAAGTGGCTGTGACGACAGCGAGAGAGTTAAGAAAAGTAACATCTTACAGGTATATCCGCGTTACGGCATTCAAAATCAGGAAGACGCCTATTACACGGAATTGTTATAAGCGTGACGACTGCCCGCGTCACTTAGCAGCTGGGGTAATACGTACTAATGCGTGCTCAGACATTGTAACGACGGGGCTACCTATATAATTAAATTGTGACAAGGGCATCCGCAAAATGTACTGAAATTGTGCGTGTCGCTCGTCGCCGAGCGCACGGTCGCATTAAAGTCGCGATAGCGCGCTGTAACAAATGCACGCTAATTGAAAAATTGAATGATTCGTGTGGTCGCGTGCTTGGGCAAGCCACCAGCTGAAAGCTGGAAGCCGCATCGTTGCCGATACCGATTATTGATATCCCGCTCTCCGTGCCGGTACCGTAAATTTCCGCAGACGAGCCGCGCTTTGTCGAACCGCGTGCATTTGCGCGAATAAATCTTACGCGATTGTCTGGAAGCTGTAAATCTTCGTAAGAACTTTTATGTAATACCGTATCGACTGCTTTGTTTGTCAACCTTTTTCCCTTTTTCAACGTCTAGCTTCTTACGTTCGACGCGATGCAATACGCTTCGTTGTCGATTACACGCGAGCGTCGACATCGAGCTTCGCGCAAAGACGTACTTCTATACATTTCGAAATTTTATACCGATGTACTCATCGATATTTAAAATAAAATGCGCGAATCATTCGCGACTGTTGTATCTGCGTGTTGTTGCAGCAGCGCTGTGCGTTTGCGCTCGCATGATTATGTTCAATTTTGTACATGTCTTCTCTTACTTTCCCCTCGTACGTGATATATTCACACTGTCGGACATAAGTAATTACCGATGGGAATGCGCACAGTTACCGCAACGCGAGTAGCAAGATTAACGAGAATTGCGGCGAACCGCACTTTTGCTGTAATACGGATGCTCGCGGGAAATGATGAATGTATTTTATTTTTTAACTACCACCGTGTCGATTTTGCCAGTCTTTTTCTAATTTAACCGAGAAGAAACTCATTGCGTCATTCACACATTTAAGTCTTTAGATTTCTCGCGCGTTTCTGACCTCGTAGGCCACTTCTCGTTCGTAATAATTCGAATAATTATTAATAAGTTGTTACTTTCGTTTAGAAATAATTGGCGAAAGATTGATTAATTAATTTAGAAAATGATAACATGTGTCGTGCAAAATTTTGTACTATTTCACAATTTTATCGTATATATTTTATCATGTAAAATTTATAAATTATAAAAGTTGCAATGATTCAAATTAAAAAGTGAAGGAACGGAAAGAGCCAACGCCGTTACGAAAAGGACATAAAATTACAAAACACAACGAACGTTTCGGTCTGTCATCAGGTTTTTTTCAATGTCAGAATAACAAGCTGAAACGATTGTATCGTATGTTTTGTAATTTCAATACATGTCCTTTTTGTACGAATAATCTACGTTGGCTCTTTTCGCTTCTTCACTTTTTAATTTTATCGTACACGTATCTAGAAAGTCAGTTTAAATTTCTGAATAATTATGCGTTCTCGCAAAGCAATAAAAAATTGGAAAAATTAATTATGGAAGCAAATGCTAAAAATGTAAATAACCTGACTACATTATAGATATCATTTTCATAGCGATAGCATTTAGAAGAAAATATATAACATTATAAGATGAATGTCTCGCAGAAAGAGCGAAGAAATATTCACATAAAATACGGAACACGTGTAGAGTTTAGAGAAATCTACGTGCAAATTTCCTATTATTTGAAAAGAACTTTTCGAATAACATCGCATGGAATAATTTGGCTTGGCATTCGGCGATCTTTCCTTTCTCTTGTCGAAATAATCTCGCATTATGTGCGAGTTGTCCGAAAAGGGCGAGGGAATTGTCATAAGGGACCCGGTTGATTCGCGCAACTCACCGTAAAGGGGCCCGATGACGACCATAACAATGACCATGAGCACGATGACCCTTTTCTGGCGATTGTTCGCCCCTTTCTTGAACGCGACGCGAAACGTCTCTTCGATGTGCCTCAACGAGAAGAAGTTCTTAATGAAGGCGCACACCGACCACTTGCCTTTACTCGGCGGGATCTTCTTCTTCTGCGCGCGTTTCACCAGCACCCTCGACGGCTCCTTGATCACCACTAGGCCGTACACGAAGCTCAATACGTAGCACACCATCGAGATGGTGAAGACACCGTAAAAACCCAGCGTCGTGTAGAGAATCCCGGATAAAGCCATGCCGATCGGCACGCCGAGCGACAGAAAAACATTGGCCGCACCGATTCTGAGTGTCCGCGACTCCACGGACGTAATGTCCGCGATATAGCTGAAGATACCCATGAACATGGTGAACCAGCCGCCGGTCAGTCCGGGCCAAACCGCCTCCAGCACCACCGCCTCCATGGGCAGCTCGTAAAACCAGTAGGTGCAGGCGATGCAGGTGATGCTGCTGAAAAACTCGCCGATGATCGGCAGCAGCATGCACGGCTTTCTCAGGCCCGTGCGATCGCTCCACGCGCCCATAAACAGGATGAGGATGGTCGGCAGGGCGCTCTGCAGCGGCGTTTTCCACGTCTGCATACGCGCGACCATCTGCTGCACCGCCGTCTCCTCGGTTTCGTAGCCGGTGGTGTTCCGGGCGGTCAGCGCCGAGCACACCTCGTCCGAATAGGCGAGATTCACCCGGCACGCCTTCTCCAGAATGAGATTCTGCACGGCGAATCCCGAGAGCACGCTCGGTATCACGTAGCACGCGACCATCGGCTCGACGGTGATGTTACTGGTGAGGTAGGACCATTTCTGCCGGATGTTCATCGACTTCCAATTGAAGGCGCTGCTGGGCTTGTCGGACGCCTGCTTCTTCTCGGGCGGGTCCTTCGCGGGTGCACCGCCGGTCGTCGTCGAGATCTCCGACATGCTTACGTCGAAAAGAGGTGTCTCACTTCACACATACACGCGCGCGAAAACGATTGGCGTTACAGGCGTCTCCGGATCATTCGAATCGCGCGATCGATCCGGGATCATCAAGCCGAATCGCTCGGCACGCAGCCCGATTCAGCGCGCGGGTTTCAGACACGCGAGAGAGAAATCGGCGGTTTTCGCGCGACTCCCCGGCTAATGCACTGTCGCAAGCATTACGGCTGTTCGTCTCCTTCCTTCGCCGTCATTCACCGCCTGCAGCAGCGTCACTCCGCCTCCGCTCCGCTCCACCCCGAATCCGCTCGTTCTCTTCTAGTCGCGGCACCGCTCGTTCTCTTCTAGCCGTGCGATCGAGCTACGGCGCCGTTTCTGCGTGCGCGAGAGTGCCGCTGATCCGTCTTCGTGTACATCCACCTAGATACTAAACCGCACGCGGTGCCCCCTCAAAGGGGGCAACGTCGCCGACGCTCGCGCCAAATCGCCGCGTTCCCGCGGCGACGATTCGGCACGATGACGCGCGCGACTATAATGCTTCGCGACGTCGGCGTCGAGCCTCTTCCGATTCCGCCCCGCAGGAGTTTTCGGGTCAAGGTCAGCGGCACCCGATGACGTTCGCGCCTCGCGGTTGCCCGAGAGAGGCCCCGCGGGAGTCGTCGTGCACCGCGCGCCCTTACTTTATCCCTCTTCGGCCGATCGGCTTATCGTCCGCGGCTCCGTCCGTTCACTTTTTCTCCGTCGCGCGAGGAACGCGGCAATTATCCCGATACGAGATCGACTTCCGGGACGAAACGAGTTAAGATTCTCGTGTCGAATCTCTTCACGGGACCGTGCCTGCGATAAGTGCCGTCTTATATAAAAGTTTAATCCAGCTTCATCAACGGTGACATGTTGACGAAAGGACGACGCGTCATAATTATCGTGCTCATCTTCCTGCCTAAGGAGTACTTGTTCCTGCGTCGGCGGATGATGATCCTTTTCGACTTCATATACCTCACGATTCTACGGTACATTGTTCCTGCTCGTCAACCGCGGTCTCGATTCTCGGCCAACTGCGCGCTATCCACGTCGAACGGTGCAAAAAGCGTCGTTGTTGCTGGAATAATTGCGGCCTCGAAGCTCGCCACGAGGCTTCCCACGGTGCGAATGATTCTTGCGCTTCGTCAGTTGACGCGTCAACAACTTCTAAGGGGGCTGCTCACGAAACTGTACGATCGCAAGCTCTATTGTGCACTCCTTTCACTGGGCGATCCATCCGAATGCTCGGTCACGCAGCTTTCGACGGTCCGCGACACGTTCTTCTCCCTTGAGAAATTTTTCCTCGTCACATTAAACAGTCGTCGATCCGACGTCACCCAAACACGTTTCTTCCCTCGCGCAGAACGATACGTAAAGAACTGCGAACGGTCGCGCAAAGACAAACATTTTCGAACTGTCGGCCGATTTGTTTTATTTTAATGAAGAACGCGAAGAAATTTGCAGCGTACAGTCGCAAAACAAGAGTGCCGGCGATCGCGACGATGTCGAACGGATGACAACTGAGCGTAAACAGGGAGCGTCGTCGAATCACTGCCGCGCGTAACTCGACGAGGCGCTGTTAAATGTGACAATTCGTTGATAAAGTAATCACTACGACGCACGGTCCCAGCGTTCTACAGTCGGAGCCTATTTTAGACAGGGCCGTCCACCTAAGTGTCATTATTTACGACGGTGAATTCCGAGCTATTCGTATGGCTGAGTCGCTCGTGGCGAGCTGTCGGTCGGGCATCACGGCGTTTTTTACTCGCGTGGACGCTCCTCGCGATTATTCGGTGCCTCGCCAGCGCAGGCGAGTGCCGGTGAATCGCGCCGAGCGCTCGCAAAATTGTTCCCTCGTCCGATTCATTTGAATTAATGCCGCGTGTCGTCCTCGACCGGCTGGATCTGTGTCGAATCTCGAAAGCGCATTGCTAAATCCTCGACGTTCACGGTGGCGTGATCGCGAAATCGGCGAGAATCCGCAAGGTCGCGTCCTAGCGGACGAAAGACACCTAGAGGCGGCCCTGGCTCTTGAGCCTGACGTATGAACGCCGTCAAGTGAGTAATGCTCGCAATTCCACAGCGATGCATATAAAATATCCGATGCAGAGCTGTCACCGGCACCTCTGTCTTGATATCCGAGCGACGAGGGTGCGTCGGTGGTCGTCATCGGCGCAAGAGCCATCCTCTTCGGCCCGAGCGCTGCCGTGGTGCTAGCGCGACAGACACAATTCTTTCGCGCTGATAATCGATCGATAACGCCAATCGATCACCAAATGTGCGTTATAATGAGCCGCTGCTACCGCCAACAGTGTTTTATTTCATTGCATTCTCGCTCCGCTGAACCGCTACTCGCGAATCGTGCATTTCCGACAACAATCATGGAACCAGCTAATGATTCCAATTCCGCGTTCGGTTCACAAAGCTGCTTTCAATTTTTTTTTTCCGGCTATTAAATGAACAGAAACGATATCTCTTGCACACGATTTTTTGTTTTCGGCGATACGTCGCTTTTAGGTCACTTGGATTTCGTTTATTTTTATTGATTATTCGCCTTGCTGACGACTTTTGCTCGCGATAAATCATTTGCTCATTAAAATATTGTTTGTTTATATATTTTACAATTTTCAACAATATAAAATATAAGGCATCTTCTTCACTTTGAATGAGAGAGAAGTAAGAGAAGGAAATAGTAGCGATTTATTATCACAATTAATAGGATGTCTTATCATAGATATTTGTGTTAGTAAGAAACATTTAAAATTTGCCACAATATTAATTGATATAATAAATTATACTGCTAAATAATAAATAACAGTATGAATTGTTAAATAATGCTACGATGCAAATTATTTATTGCTCGTTCGAAATATGGGAAATAATTGTCCGGATTTAATAGTTTTATTTCAATGGATTTGTGCAAATATAAAAAAACGGTGCGCAATAATTTTCCATGTGGCTCTTTATGCTTCAGCTGCTTGTTTGGAGGTTGTTGCTTGAACTCAATTAACTTTGACCGTGTATGAAATGCGTATTACAGCATCTTCAATCGAGTTAATGCATGACGAGCACTTCGTAATCCTTGAACGATAACTCTTCGCCATCGAACGGGATGTACAGGCATCCGTGACTTCGTTGTACCTGAAGAGAACATTTTCAAGTCTTCACATTAGAGTCCTCACGTGTTCTCGCACAAAAATAAGCAGCATTGCGTAAAATAATAGATTTCACGCACAGAATATAAATTGGAAAGAAACCCAAAGAGATACGTTTAAAGAAAATATACGAAAATCATAAAAATTCTGCATTCCGAGTGCCTGTCACATGTGTTTATTGCTTTTGAGTTTTCTGCAAATGAACAATTGCCGAAAAGACCGACCTTGCCAACCGTTTGAGCTCCACTATGGAGGACACGGCCAACGTATAGAGGTTCTCCGTCCGCTGTTTGACCGGCGATTACAGCATCCGTTGGCACTTCACCGTCGCGGCAGAATTCCCATGCAAATTCGCCTTGGCAAAGAACCTGGCATCGTAATATCGTTAATTAATTACAGCTAATTACTCGTGATTACATTAACAATTAATTGCGACAGCATTCATTCATTATTATTAGAAAAGATTATCAGATCAGACCAAAATTTGATTGTAACGAATCTCGCTCGATACGCCGAAGACGTTCTGATCGAGATATGATTCTCGAGAATCATATCTCGACTGGTTCGATAATCACATTTCAAGAGAATATAAGCAATATCTATAGATTATCTTGAGCTAAGGTCTCGATATGATTAATCTCTGCAAAAATTTGTACTTTGATTGTATATCTATTTATGGCATGTTACGTAAGCTGCAAAAGCGATCTGCAATTGCTTTTAATCGCTACTGAAGAATTAGAGGAGATCGTTAATGGCCCATGGGCGGGCTTAAGCTAGTCAATAAGGCTTTTACTTCTGCAAATTGTTATGCAAATTGCCTAACGAGACAAATTGATACTGCAGTCACTTTTGTGAAAAAAATCATGGAGCGAAAGCGACGTAATTTCGCGATAAATTGGCAAAGGTTCTTCAACGCCAACAATTGCGTTGTTGTAAGTAAAATTATTTTTGCACGCTTCGCAATCAAAAGACCTCCTTGAAATTTCATTAGTTTTAATAAATTTTAATTTCTCTCTGATAAAAATACAAAGCGGTGCAAGATTTTAATCGAGTCTTTCGTTATGCAGAAAATATTTGTCGCTTTACTTACGTCAAAATTATCTTTGGGATGTTCTTCGCCGTTGTGACTAACGTAAGCGACGTTCTTATCGGGAAGCACTTTCGCTGGCAACATGTCACCAGCGTGGAAAGCTCTGCCGACATAAATCAAGCATCCGTCAGAGTCGCGGCCACCGTTGACCGCGTTTTCTGGCAGCGATTGACCGCCGGAACGGTTCACCCACCTGTAGGCTGTAAAGGCAAATGTCAAATTGTCAATAACGTTGTTGAACAAATTAATTCTATTTTAACAGATCGTCCAAGTTTTAACACTTTCATTCGTTATTTCATTTTTAGATAAGAAATTTTAATTACATAAAGTTCATTGTCAACGATATCTTTGATATAAAATTGACATCAAGATAAGGAAAACTTTTTTAAGACAGTATTTTTTTTAGATATTTATTACCAAAATCATTTTTGCAGAATTGTTAGTTTACGTTTCATAAGAATAAATTGTGCAAAATTAATTTTATTGATTCTACAGGCTGTTTCATAATGTCCGTGCCAACGATCGTGTGCGGTAAACTGAATAGAAAAGTCCTTTATTGTTTTGCAATTTTTGCAATAATAATTGAGATATTAATTAAAAAGGATTGACGAGTAATCGTGCGTTGCGCGTGATTAGACCGTGGGCTGTACGCTCTAGGCGTGACAGCAACGAGGATCGCACGGCAACGAAAAATAACAACGCGTGTTACTCCTGTTTTCGCCAGACGCGATCACTCGTCAATCCTTTTTAATTGATATCTCAATTATTATTGCGAAAATTGCAAAACGATACAGGACTTTTCTATTCAGTTTATCGCATTCTACCCGCACACGAGCGTTGACACGAACATTATGAAACACCCTGTATATCCTGTGAAAGTCACAGTTTTATTAATATCTAAGAGAAAGTGTCAGAGATTTCATTTTTGATTATTGATAACTGCTACACACAACGCAGCTATTTAGTTGTAATTTTAATAGTTTTAATTTAATTTAAACGACATTAATTTTTCTTGCATAGTTTTACAAACATCTGGTGAACTAACATATAACGAACATATGTGTTACGTAATATTAAAATGCGTTAACACTGACACATATTTCCCGTAATCAATATGATAAGATTCTTCCAGAAGGTTCTTGTAATCAATGATTTCATCGCAAGTACTATCTTTTCGACTAATATGATTCATTATTTAAACTTATTTAAACTGATATTTTCGAAGTTTAATTAAGAATTTTCTGCAAAAGCCTTATCTAACTATTTAATATACAACGCAATATTATTAACTCAGATACATATATATGTATAATTTTATAATATGTTATCAAGTTATATAGCTTCAACAGTATGTGTTGTAGAAACGAATTTAAAAATAATAATCATTTTAGAAATGATTAATTAGCTAGAAATGATTAATCTGAGGCTTGAAATTTCATTAATCTTTCACAATGAGAAGATTAATGATGAGAAACGACGATATATGATTAAATAGCAAATCAACAGCAAATGAATGAAGGTAAAACGAATAAAAAAGAATAGAAAAATAGTTTCATAAAAAAAAATATCTTAAAATAACGAGAGATTTTTACTTTAGAAAGACAAAATTTTCTCTTACCTGGCATAATGAAGTCGATTCGGCACGGTTGACGCCTAGGTACGAAATGATCCGTATCGTGTCTGTACAATGGGTTAAAACATCGTGTAATCTTATCGCTTCTGTAATCTTATTTGCCGAAACGTTCCGCATTTCCTTTTTTCTCCTGTCGCGTTATATGTTTGAAAGATACTTATTCAGAATGTAATGATATGATATATTCTCACACCTTTCTATCTGAATTCTCACACCTTTCTATCTGATTATCTAGTGTTTTACATGGCAAAAACTATTATAGTATAATTACTAAAATTTAATAAATTTTTATTTAGATATTGCATTTTACTATTAAAATTTGAATTTTTATAGCGAGTTATTGTACAGAGACTTAAATTATGATTAATTTATGCTTCTTTATGTTTTTAATTTAAATAACTAGCGCTGTATATTGCATATTGCATTACTTTGTCCTATCTTTTGTATGCATAAGAAATTTAATATTTTGAATTTATTACCTAAAGATGTTTCTTATCGACAGGATGATCGTTGGTAGAACGCAAGTGTTGCGCGAAGTTGACGAAAGATGGTAGTTGAAGCTTTCACACACGTGGGTTGTACAGAATAGTTTGCACATATGTTTTTCGTGTAATTTTACATATTTCTATAAAAAAGTACACATAAATCCTTTTTCAAAATGAAAGTTAAAATGTTAAATAGGGATCCTAACGTTTACTTACGAGAGACTAAACGAGATATTCACAAAGGTAAACCTAGATCGAAATTAATTTAACTTACTGTGTTTACACTGAATGACAACTTGGTTATTTTCAGTTCCTAGAAATTATGATCCATCTTTGCATCCCTTCGAAGCTCCGAGGGAGTACACGAAAGCACTGAACGCTGTTAAATTAGAAAGAGTATTTGCAAAACCATTTATTGGCAGTTTAGAAGGTCACAAGGACTCGGTGTTCTGCATTTGTAAACATCCCACTCAGTTGTCCACTCTTCTGAGTGGTGCTTGCGATGGTGAAGTAAGAACATGGAATCTTGCCCAAGGAACTTCCACACGTGCATTTTTGGCTCACGATGGCATAACTCGTGGAATTACATACGCAGGAGATGGAAAACATTTTATTACTATTGGAGATGATAAGACGATTAAGACGTGGAATGCTGAGTCTGTTAGTGAAGAAGAAGAACCTTTAAATACTATTATCTGCAAAGTATGTAATTTATATATATAATCTTTCAATGCATTTCTCAAATGCAGAAGTATTTAAGCGTTCTAAACGGATCTTTCTTACTTTTAGACGGTGTTAACTGGTATAACCCATCATCGATCAGATCCTGTATTCGTCACCTGCGGAGAAGTATGCCAGATGTGGGAAGAAACTCGTAACGAGCCAGTGCGTACATTCAAATGGGGGGTGGACAGCTTACATGATGTAAAATTCAACTTAGTGCAAAGAAATCTCTTGGGTATGATATGATGTACAAGGCACATAACCTAGTTTGAAAGTTTATTTTGATATTTTTGTATTATCTATTAATTCTTTATATAAGAGATTTTGTTATCAAAACTCATAATTCTATTAATGTTTGTCTTTACCTTTAGCCTCTTGTGCAAGCGATCGCAGTATAATTTTGTACGATACTAGAGATGTAGGACCTCTACAAAGAATAGTGATGAAATTGCGAAGCAATAAACTTGCTTGGAACCCCACCGAGGCTGTGAGCTTTACGTGTGCTAATGAAGACTACAAGTGAGTTTATAAATGACAGTGATAGAAATAATGGTTTCATAAAATTGGCGCAAAAATCTTAAATGTATGTTTCTCTAGTTTGTATACCTATGATATCCGGAAGTTGAGAACTCCAGTTAATGTACACATGGATCACGTGGAGGCTGTGATAGATGTGGATTATTCGCCGATGGGGAAAGAGTTTGTCTCAGCCAGTTACGACAAGTCGATCCGTATCTTCGAAGTCAACAAAGGCCACTCGCGAGAAGTGTACCACACAAGACGTATGCATAGACTTACTTGCATCGGATGGTCATCTGATAATAAATATGTAATTAGCGGCAGCGATGAAATGAACCTTCGGTTATGGAAGGCTAAAGCGTCGGAGAAACTTGGTATCGTAAGTATTAATATAGAATTTGTAAATTTATATTCAATTTGAAATAAAGCAATACCGATAACTATGCATTTTTACTTTTCACAACAGTTAAAGGCTCGAGAAAGAAAGGCATTGCTTTGCAACGAAGCCTTGAAAGAAAAGTTCGCGGCCCATCAAGAAATTCGACGGATCGCGCGTCACAGACAAGTGCCGAAGCATATATACAACGCGCGAGCCGAATTGCGGACGATTCGTGAGAAAAATAAACGCAAGTACGTATTAAGTTACAAACATCCAAATTTTATAAATCTTGAGCAGCGTCTTCATGAAATATCGTTTTATTTTTCAGGGAAGCTAATAGGCGTTATCATTCTAAAAAGGGAACCGTGCCGTTCGTGGCTGAAAGAAAGAAGCACATTGTCTCTCAAGAGTAAAATTAGAATGACATATTTTCGTATCTTTTTACTTGATATGATCGACTACGTTATTTTTCGGTCTTTATTTTTATTATCAGTTGACCGGCAAGTACTGAATTTTTGTATTTAAATCTTATACTAGATGTCATGTGTATTCGCAAGAAGTACTTTGTATTATATTTATTGTAATAAATAATTTCTCTTGACATTATACAACGCATCACGATAATAAATTCATAAAACATTACAAACCTCAAGCAGTGATTAATGTCATGCGTAGCGTATCTTACAACAGTTAATTATGCTGGGTTTTCTTGCGCGATTACTTTAGCACGTATTAATCGATTTCGTAATACAAATAGTTTCCTTTTCTCCCGTTATTTCAAGTTTATATTCCCAGAAAAGCTTATTGAAATCCTGGTACGATCCGTTAGATTGCGCAAGATTAACAAATATAAGACACACTTTATGCGATTATGTGGTCATGTGAGCTGAAAAAAATGATTCGTATAAAATTAATAAAGTTTTACAAATACAGTATTTTTTGTTTTCATTACAATGCAATCTGCGTTGTCGTTAAATTGTTACAGAGAAACACATTGTAGAAGCAGAGAGTCAGAAATCCATATTCGCACGAATCTATTATACATATCATACATACGATTTTAATGCGCCATATGTACCTTTCTAAACTTTCTCCTAACACAATGCATTGCTAGGTATGATTCTAGAATACAAATCTTATCAATACGATATTGGAGCATTTTTCCTCTCGCTCGAAGAATCGAAACCGTTACGTATTTTGAGGAGTTTGACATCAAGCGAATATCAAATAAGTGCATTGCAATTGAATCATCAAAATCATAGCGGTTTCGAGTCTTGCTTCGATAAAAAATGTTACATGGCAGTTTAAGATTTTTCGATGTAGCCTCAATAACTTGTATATATTGAAAAACACACTTGATCCAAAATACTGTTGCATCCGGTCATAATTCCTGGAAAATTAATTGCTGACGTACAAAAAGTGCCACGCAATTTAGTGTCTGGTCGCCAAGTTCGGCATAAACATAATCGGTATTTACGCATAATCGTATAGTTTTCATTGTCGTAACTATGCGCGAAATTTCTGTACAAGACTAGTTGAGAAATTAAATTATCGCCTATTACAGTATATCCATATTTCCACCGAATCCAAGTTTTGGAGGAGTTTCCACGTCCTCTTAGGTATAATAATGCTTTCAGGATTCCATGCCATTTTCCTAATCCTCTTCGACATTTACTAATTAAATATATGTGTGGAAATATCGAGTAAGAATAATTATAATATATATACATATAAACACATGTACATTAATATTAGGATTGGGGGACTAAAAACGAAAAACGTTCGTTTCTGTTGATAAATCGAAAATTCTTTTTGATTTGCATTTAAATTGCATCTTTCTTTGTTTCACCAAAATACTAAAATATTTTCTAATAATTTCATATTTCTATTTGTTGCGGATTAGAAAATAAATTTTAATGTGAAAAGTTTTTATTCCACACGTAATGTTACTTTACATGTGATATTAATCGAGATGTCCGATAATTAGAACTATTTATTTAGTTTTCTTTCACGAGAAAAAAATAGCTTCTCTTTTTATCAGAGTTTCAATGAATCTTGTTTCACTTTTAGTCCCCGGTTGCGATATATCATTGGGATTGCAACTAAATGTTGAACGGAAGAAGTCCGATATAGACTCGATAGGTCAGACATACCTTGATTTCGATATCCAGTTTAATATTTTTATACGACTCGACTCTCGTGGTTGAATCTTTCCTTTTTTATAACTTTAGCACTGTTGCAACTATCGAGAACGAATCAAATGCTAATAAAACTTGATACACTTTGCTGTTTAACACAGAGAAACCTGCAAAAAGATAATTTACTTCGATCGAAGATTCGATAAGTGTCAATTGTTTCGCTTCACTCGCTGTAACAAGCTTAAAACTAATCTCCCGCTAGGCGTGCTGTAATACAAAAGATCATTCTTCCTCGACATTGCTACTCCAGTCACGTCAATAACACTAGAAATAATTAAATTATCTACGTTACATTCCTTATTATCGTTAATGACTTATAAGTATGTATCACTGTTGGCTGTGCAAACCTTTCTGGAACATAGATTGATAACTAAGCGTCGCACTAAGTGTATACCTTATATCATGCCAATATCAATTACTGCATGCAAATTCTTCTTGCGGGTGATAATCGCAAATAACGTTGATTCTTTGATTAATGGCACAAAGTCTATCCAGGTACAAATATACCAAACGGTGCCTCACATTCCTTTCGATTAATAAGCAGTGTTTTTGCAAAAAAAAAAGTACAAGTCTGCGAACGATTGCGACGACTCGATAATCATTCTAAACGTTCAGATCGGCCATCATTTTGCGGAAATCCGCTAAAGTGTTATAATCGGGATCCGAATCGATGTCCGCGAAATCTTTACTGGAGTCGGTCTTGACGAAGCTCGGATTATATCGGCTTAGCGACAACGGACATGGCAGTAATTCCGGCATCACCGAATGGTGAGTGATCAGCGCGGTGAGCGTGGTGAATTCTTTTGTGAAGCCCTGAAACATAAAACATTATTGATTTTACAGCGCGTTCTATTATTCATAAAGACGCTGATTTTCACCCTTCACAAAGCTTGGTTGTTTCACTTTTATAATATTCTTCTCTGTGAAAAATATTGCTAAAATCCACAATTTTTTTGTTTTTATTTGAAATGTAAAGAACCCTGTTTGATAAATGTATATGTAACCAGAGTTTACTGTTTTCGCTGTTACATGCGCATTGTATTAAATCATATCGTACAAAATCATTATATGCATATTATCGTGTTACAATGCAAACTGTTGCAATACGTTGCCGGGACAATGTAATGTGATATTTTGGTTGACGGAGATCTTTCCTCGCGTTTTCAGGCGAAACGCGCCGCATAACGAGGCGGTATTAAAATGTACCAGACATGTGTGTGTATGTGTGTGTGTGCGCGCGCGCTGAGACGAGCTTCGTGTATCAGAATTATCGCATACGGCATTCATTCGAATCTGGCTACTGTACTGTTACAGGGATGCAATTCCGCGCCAGCGTAGGGGAAGAGAGTGAGAGAGAGTGGAGTTTTGATTTCCCTACGGCATCCACAACACATCCAACAAAACTCATTTATACTGGTTTCGGAGATTATCAAAGTCAGCGGACTCATTTAATCTATCCTGCGAAGGGGAAGTTCGACCATTTAAATACGCGTATCCGCACGGCTAAATGTAGTAGCTTTGTAGCTTGGCGCATGTGGCATCGCGAGTATAATGTCTGGCTACTAAAAGCATCGGCCCTTCGCGCTTCAGCGGCCCACGTACCTTATTTCAATATTAACTCGCGCGTACGGCAGGATTACGTCGCCCTCCCGTAGGTATCGTTTCGAGCGTTAAAAAGGATTTCCACTCTCCTAAACCGATGTTTAGCTTCGCAGAATGCGAGGACGATTCCGCGTACGAGCGCGGTTGTAGCGCGCTGCGATTGTTGAAAAAAAAAAAAAATACGCCGTATTAATTTTGCAGATTTCACTTCGGATTCCTCAAAGGAACGCGCATGTTTTTGGTAGGGAGATTCGCGAGCCTCGTCTGTGCATCCCTAACTACATTTTGACTTGAGTCGGTGAAGGGCACTGAAGAAAGAGACTTACTTTGATTTTGTAACCTTTGTTTGTGCGCATTATAAGATAATGGGCTATTCCGCTCGGCTGGAATTCACGGGGAACACGGAGGGAGAGAGCGTAACATCCGGGCTTGCTAGTACTCTCTCGCACCATGAACGCTCCTTCCGGCTCTTGGCTCAATACCTCCAGCGTTATCTCTCTGAAATCACGGTTGTATCGTTAATCATAAAGTGTGAATCGTATTGCGAGATCCCTCGCAACGCGTGTACAAATAAGATGGAATCGGATTTCGATGTAAGTTACGAAGACGCTCGTATAACTTCGTATA